ACACACACAACAACAACAACTACAACTAACACTACACACACACACACACACACACACAACACACACACACACACACACACACACACACACACACACATACACACCTTGCCACGCCTTCGAAAACTTTATGTATAACTTTCAGTGGAAATTCCACAATTTTACATCATTTTCAACCAGACCGTGGCATTGGCTTGTGATCTGTACACCTGCTGCATGTTTCAGTGTTCTTTAGTTATTTTTTTTATTTCTTTTCGCATCAGTAATGTCACTTGCTAGTTCATTTTGTTCATCTAAGTATCTATAAGGGAGGGGAGGGCCTCGACTAACAACATTGTTCAATTCGTGGGAACTAGATGTGCGTAGACCTGACCATCTGGAAAAAACATGTACATGTGACAAGTATTCTCTTCAACCTGACTTCGCGACATGTATGTTTCTTTAAGACAAGACGTTACCGATGACTTTGTGTACTTTGTACTTGTTCCCGAACTGTCTTCACCTGCGTTACGCAGAACGTGCCAGTTTTGTGCTGCTCTTTGCCCCTCATCTCATCTATCTAACCTTCTATTTATACATATCTCTTAGTTAAACTATTTGGCAGTTGGAGTAACAACGATGGACCAGCTTGTTCCGGTTTTCTCATGAATATTAATGATCTGAAAACCGGTTTTCTCCAGTTTTACCGAGACTAACGATCTGACAACCAATAGTTTTCTCCGGTTTTCCCGTGACCGACGATCTAAAAACCAGTTTTCCCCGGTTTTCTGCTCATATGGTGTCACTTAGTGTCGTGCCATTTTCTCATATTATAGCACCATTTCGCAAAATCAGCCCTAAGCGTACATGTATACGGTTGTAATAAACGGTGTACCATATATGCACCACAAAAGGCAATAAATACGGATTCCAATGATATACAAAACAACGCTATTATATCAATATAACAATAACGAAGATATATCAGAAAGATTGCGAAGTAAAGCTTCTAAAATTGTCTGTGTTATGATTTGGTTCTCATTATGCACTGTATCTGTGTCTTATAATATTGTTTACCATATTTATAAGACTAAACACTGCCACAGGTGTACTTTAGTTGTTTTTCTTGCTCAATGGCGTTTTTTGAATCACTAGTCAATCTTGAAACACTGAGAGTTCGCTAGACAAACCAAATAGACGACTAAAACCGAGAAAAGTTGAAGCACGAATCAACCACAAACATAGTTTCTGAACAATGAAATAAATTCATTAAATAGAAAAACAGGAACAAGTTTTCAAATGAGATAATGATAGCGCAAACACTGTAAGCCCTCTTGTTTGTCTTCTTAAAAAAATACTGGCCTTGAATATAGGAGATAGTATAAGCGGTCACGGGCAGTTCAGCAAGTACTAGTTTGCATAATTTATTCTTATTTGCATATCCCTTCGCCAAATCGTTTGTTTTTGTACAACGTATACGTGTCAGTACGGTGGCCCATAAGTACACTTAGTATTTTTTATTCCACTTTTATTTTCTATGGGTACTTTGTATTTTCTATGGGTTACTTTTATTTTCTATGGGTACTTGTTTTTTTCTGTGTGTCACTTTTATTTTCTATGGGTACTTTTATTTTCTATGGGTCACTTTTATTTTCTATGGGTACTTTCATTTTCCATGGGCACTTTTATTTTCTATGGGTTACTTCCATTTTCTATGGGTACTTCTATTTTCTATGGACACTTTTATTTTCTATGGGCCTTTTTTTATGGAGGGCGCACAAAACGAAGGGCGCACAAAACGATAAATCGTACAAGACGATAAAAATACCGCTCTACCCGGCGAGATCACTGAGACCCCACCAGGTAAGCATTCCGTTTTTAATTGGGGTATAACAAAATCAAAAAAAGAGTGAAAACTAGACAAGAGAGACAGGAGGTTTTTTAACTATTTTCTTTTTTTTTTTCAACTTTTCGACGTGACAGAGACATAGACAAAGGAAGGGGAATAGAAAAAGGATGTGCCAAGCTACCCACGACAGGTTACTGTCCAAGTGCTCCCACCAACCCACTCCTGCCAACTTGACACATCAAAATAAAATAATGACATAAAAGGCAGACATTTCACAACAAAAAAACTGATACGACTAGAAGGGAACGGGGGATTAGAACCGCAGGCGTAGTTTTCCCCCTACGACCTTCGCCCAACGTACTGAAGAGCACCACTGTGCTCGGAAAGCTGCCTCACCGAGGCGTACAAAGTCTAGCTTCAGTCTTGAGCGGAGGCACTCCTTGATGTACGGAACTATCTCAACGTGGGTTATAAACGTTTTGTCAAAGAGTGCCTCACATCTCGAGGACCAAATCCGTTTCCTCGCGATAGCGATGACGTAGATTATGACATCTCTCTTACACTTTGGCCAGGAGGTTGGCACAATACCGAAGATGACCATATGTTTATTGATCCGGAAGTCTGACAATATCCATCTCCTGATGAAGCCCTCCACCCATGTCCATGTGAGTAACACTTCGTTACAGGACCACATCACGTGGTCCATTGTTTCGAATCCATTGCAATTGTTCCTCGGACATGTGCCCGAGTGGATAAACCTCCACTTAGAGTACAGCAGAGCATTCGTCTTAAGGGCATGGTGGGCAACCAGCCACGCCGTGTCTGTTTTCCAGGAGGGGGTGTTGGACTGATTGGAAGGTTAAAGACCAAGGAACGGAGCGCTTGTTTAGACAGATAAGCATTCCGGAGTACACACAGCACGTGTCTGTGTGTACTTCGCGAAGTTTTTTGGTGGCTGACTAAGCGACATTCATTTTGCCTTCATGTGAATGCTCCCATTTTTATTATGGGCGGTATATTTCTGTTTACCATTCTAGGCAACTAAATTTATTTTGAACCTATTAAAACATAATATACTTTACACTTTTAAGAAAATTTTGTTTGTTTTTGCATGCAATGTTCCACACGTTTATTAATTAGGAGTATTAAATAGTGATTATTACATCCTGGCATAGATTATGTTAATGTAGGGGTTTGCGGAAAAACCTGTCCACCGATCAGGCCTAATTAATAAACGTGTGGTTCATTGCATGCAAAACAAACTAATTTTTCTTAAGGTGTTACGTATATTATGTTTTAATAGCTTCAAAGTGAATTTAGTTGCCTAGAATGGTAAACAGAAATATGCCGCCCATAATAAAAATGGGAGTATCCACATGAAAACAAAGTGAATGTCGCTTCGCCAGCCACTGAAGAACTTCGCGAAGTACACACAGAAAAAAACAAGTGTCCATAGAAAATAAAAGTACCCA